ATTTCCCCTTCTTCTCATAAAGCCTTTTCCCATCTGTCTAAATAACTTCTAATTAGACTATAAAGACAAAGAGCAGCTATTACTGACATTTTAATTTTAAAAGTTAAAATATTGCTAATTTCAGACAAAACACCTGAACTGATGCAGGAGGCGTGCACAGACAGACATATGCAATCAGATGGTCACTGCTTGGTAGGAGAAACGTTCGCCCTTCTTTTCAAATGGCTGAATTAGAATTACATAATTATGTAACTAATTTGTAACTGTTGAACATCCACAGTTCTATTATAAGAAATGCCGTGATGAAAATACTTATATATACACTTTTATGCATATCTCTCATTATTTTCTTTGCAAAAAAATACCAATGGGTGGGATTATTAAGTTAAAACATATGACCATCACAACGTATTTTTTTAACTTTCAAAGAAACTTTTAAAAAGCTCATGATGTACTACAAAACTGATTCCCCAAAATGTTGTCATGTTGTGCCACATAACCTTTTGTGGGACAATGTTAAGCCCAGGGGGGGGTCTAAATTGAAGGGATTGTGTGTGTGTGTGTGTGTGTGTGTGTGTGTGTGTTCCATATAAGTAACTTAAGAGGGTGTATTCTCCAGGGGAAGAGTCCTTGCTTCCTTTGCTCAGGCGTCATTTGGGTCCTTGTGGGTGTAGAAACCTTTGCTCCAGCTGCTCATCTAAATTCTGTGCATCTCTGAAGCTGAAGAGCCCACTTATCATTATAGTTTTACCCTCTGTTGTGGTGCAAGGAGACGTTCCTTTCTTGGTTTTAATCTTTTAAACACACAAACACAATTTCAAATGTCATTTCTAAGTATAAGAGCAGAATGAGGAGGTTTTGGCATGAGATCACTATCATCTTGTTCTCAAACTCTATTTTGAATCTAGACAGCTATATTTTCTAGCTCTAATACTGTGGACTTTTTTATAATCATATATTGGTATATTTATGTGTATGTTAGCTTTTAAGAGCTTGGATGAAATGTCTGTGTATATATGTGTGATATATTTCTCTTTATAAAAAGCTTGGGTGTTGAGAACTCTCTACTCAGAATGGGTTTTTGACCTTTGAGAAGGTGCGTGGACCCCCAGTTGTTGGAGTCACCCCCTCCAAGCTCAGGCTGGGGGCTGGCCAATGTGCGCTTGCAAGGTGTGCACAAGGAGGGCGCAGCAGTCTGGGGGCTGTGAGGAGCAAGCCAGGAGCAGAGGTGCTGTGCAGAGCGACGTGGCATTTGGTGCAGGAGGCACTGGGTCAGACTCCCTCTACATCGAAAGCTTCCTGGGTGACTCAGTGAGTCTGAAGTGTGGCTCTGCCGTCTCAAGCACCACGCCCCAGTGGGCCTTCTGCTTGACACAGAATCTGTGTGCACCCTGAGACTTTCAAAACTGCCATTGACTCACCGAGATAAAAGAGTAAGAAAGCGTCTATCGATCCCCAGGCAGTCCCCGACGTTATTACCTGTTCACATTAGAATGCAGCAGGGGTGCCCTCACGCCAGGGGTTCCTCATAATTGCTACTGTTGTTCAGCAGAGGAAAGAACAAATTGGCCCTTGTGTCTTTTTTCTTTTTTTTTTTTAATTTTATTTATTTATTTTTAGAGAGAGGAGAAGGTGGGGGAGAAAAAGAAAGAGATGAAACACTGAATGTGTAAGAGAAACATCAATCAGTTGCCTCCTGTACAACACCAACTGGGGACCTGGCCTGCAACCCAGGTGTGTGCCCTGACTGGGAATTGAATCGGGGACCTTTTGGTTCTCAGGGCAGCGCTCAATCCACTGAGCCACACCAGCCAGGGCTTGTATTTTCTTTCTATGAGGTCCTACCTGCCCTGTATTGAAAAGTTCTGGGGGTCTGCCTATAATTGCTAGTGCTTTTGAAGATTTTCTCCTATTTTTATGTTGCATTAATCATTTCCATGGGAATCTTGAAAGAGGGTGGATGTCTGTGTTTATGCTACCGATCAATCAGGAAATCCATGCCTTCTCTTTATTAAAGACCTCCTAGGGGATTCTCTAGCAAGATTCCTTTGTTATGCATTTTGAAAACAGAACTGCCTCTTCATGCTTTTGTTGCAGAATTATTTTGTCAATCAAAAAAGATTACTGTCCAAAACAAGTAGTTATTTTAAATTAAGATTACATTAAAGCATTACAATATTGATCATGTAAATACTGATCAAGAACAATATAAGTACCCCCAAGGGTTCCAAAAATGATTAAGAAGGCCTATTCTGTTTATAAACTGTTTCAGTGGAAGTAATGTAATAGAACGGACCAAAGCTGTCCTACAATCAGCAGTGAACAACTGAAAGATAAGATGGTGATTCAGAAATTTAGCCACAGTTTCCGGTGATGATAATATTCTAACTCAAAATCCGTAATAACTTTAAATGCTCTCATCTACCAATCTTCAAAAGTATCAAAACTGAAAGAAGCTTTAGGCAATAATTATTTAGTACTTAGCACAGAGAAAAAGTGCATTTAAACTAATTACTTTAAATAATAATGATAACGCGGTACCAGCTTAGCAGCTGTGGTTATGTCCATTTATGGAACCTCTTATATCACCAAGGGCTCTGTGAGCTACTTGACATGTATCTCATTTAACCCTCCACTCCTGCCCTATCAATATGATCTCCACTTTTCATATGAGGAAACAGGCCCAGAGGTTAAGTAATTTGCCCAAGAAAGTTGAATGAGTAATTGGGATGCTCTGTGGAGTGTCTATTTCTAGAGAACGTCAGAGACTCTGAGAAGCATTATTTGCACGGATTCAGACTCTACTCCAGGCTGCCCCTATGCTCCAGGAACTTCCCCACTGCTGACGGTATTCCACCGAGAGCTGGATGACCACGTTTGCAATGCATTCATATCATCTGTTATTCTATATCAGGTTTCTTAAACTGGGGTTCATACCAGTGGGTTCATGTATGAACTCACACATGAAAATGAATGCAAAATTGTATAATTGTGCAATTCTGGGAAGAGGACTTTCCCTAGATTCGAGTGTAGCCCATGGTCCAAAAAGGGTTCAGAATTGTCTTGTACATATTCCTCAGGAGCTGGTTTTTAACCTCTAAGACCCATGAAATCTTATTCTAATTTCTGAGAAAATCCCGTAGTATAACACCTTACAGTGTACTTATATTTGGAAGAAAGTGGAGGCAATTGCCCAAGAGAAAATTTCAAATTGTAACTTGAAATAACCAGATAGCCATGGCCAAGGGAGTGAGGTAAAGGTTGCAGCTGAATTATCTATGTCGTGGCAGTAACTTTCCGTTTTTCATTACATACATAGAAAATGCTACAGCATAAAAGAAAGAAAAATGAGCTGAGTTGATCTGAATTATTGAACTTAAAAAGATATGTCATATACCATGAGGAAAGCATGGGAAAATATGCTAACCCTGGCCATTATATTTCTAAATAAAAAGAAAACTTGCTGGTTTTAAACAATGAAGTATGTATAATCTTGCAATGGATAAAAAATGTAGACGGAATTTTTCACTTTTTTTCCAAAGTAGTTCTGCTAAATTTCAAATATTTTCTTTGAATAATCATGCTGCACAAATACAAAGGCACATTTTAGCAGAGTGATTGAAATTAATGACGGCAATGTCCGCTGGGCCATGTCTGCGGAGGGGTCTCCCTCCCCGTTCCCGCTCCAACGTAAGAATGTCTGATGTGTAAAACTCTGCGCTTACACAAGATGCATTAGGAGCGGGTATTTTTCATCCCCCCTTAAAACCTACAGGATTTCTTTACATAAAGAGTTCTTACAGGGTTTTTGAAATGTAATTTGATTTTTTTAAAAGGTAATAGGTATACCAAAAAAAAATTCCACTGCATAAATTAAGCAGGTGCTATTAAGGCATGATTTCCAATCCGGCATAACACAGTATTGAAGTAAAAAGTTACCCCAAAGGATTTTTTGACTGTTACTGTATACCAGGTACTACCTAGGACTTTATTCAAAACTTATTATTTTTACACATAATCAACACAGAATTTTGTTTACATCTTTACGTATTTGAGAGCTGATCTCCAGTACAGAAAAATTAAGAATGGCAGCCTAGAGAAATAGTGAAATGCTAGAGGCCAGCACAAAAACAGTCAGCAGACAGACTGACATCGAGGGAAGAGACAGGAAAACAGACAAGAAGGGCGTCCACGCCCACGAGGAGGCAAGGGTGCCTGCAGATGGCAGGAGGGGAGGATGGTAATGTCAGCCACTGAAGCTTTTACCCAAGATCTCCCTGTCTTTTGAGATGCCGGAAGCTTCTCAGAGTACTGTCCTGCTTCTCTCTCTAGCTCTATGGTGCCTCCGCAGTGTCCAGGGACGGGTCATGAGTTTCCTGACGAAAGGTGTCCTGTGGGCCCTAGCTAGAAGCAAATGCCTGAGCAAGCAACCCTGAAGAGTAGGGAACTGGTTCAGCTCTGCCACAGCCCTTTAATTAATTACCTTGCTGACTGCCCCAGGGTCTGTTCCTAGTTTTCCCTGCCTGTGATCCTGGGGATTTTTCCACGGTTCTGCTGAACTCACCATTTCAGCAGTGTTGTTTTTCATATTTACTGTGTTTTGGGGTCTTTTGCTCAGCTGGACCATACCTTCAATCTTATTCCATCTGTTGTATATTATTCAAAAATTCCTCAATGTTGATTCTACCCTTCAGGTTTCCGGTGCTGTTGTGGATTTATGTTTATTATTCCATTTCAAAGAGATTTTGGATGGAAATAAAGGCACGTCTCAATCAGCTATCTTCTGTTGGAAGCCATTTGAGGCGCTCTTCAAGAAAACAAATATTCTTCCCCTACAATTAGTGCATTAAGACTTTTATCGCTTAGTTATCAATTTTACTGTAGTCAAACCAATATTTGAACACAATTAAACTGTCAAACTTGAAGTTTTCTTTCTTTTTTTTTTTTTTTTTTTGTTAAACGAAGAACTTTACAGAATGGAAAAAGTTCAGAAAACTTACAGTCCGTGTCCAGTGTGGTGCGAACAGATCTGACGAGCTCCCTGGACTCGAGGGCCAGCGTGGCGGCCCTGCTGCGGCCGAGGCCGGGCCTGCCCAGCGGCGTGAGGGAGGCCTGGGAGGCGCACAGAGCTCGTCTTTCACTACGAGGGCAGCAGAACAAAGCTGGACTTACTGCTCAGTAAATAACATCTATCTTTGATAAACATGAATTCTCATTAGTTATACATTTGTACAATAATATTTCTGTGTCTGGAATTTTGTACACTTCTGTGTACAAAGAGACATTGTGTTCTTTTTTTTATAAATTACTCTTTTTTTAAAGATTTTATTTATTTATTTATTTTTAGAGAGGGAAGGGAGGGAGATAGAGAGAGAGAGAGAGAGAGAAACATCAATGTGCAGTTGCTGGGGGTTATGGCCTGCAACCCGGGCATGTACCCTGGCTGGGAATCGAACCTGGGACACTTTGGTTCCCAGCCTGCACTCAAACCACTGAGCTACACCAGCCAGGGATGGAACATTGTGTTCTTAAAGCCATAAATAAAGTAATTCACAGAAAACATCATTTCTGTTTTCAATTCTTTATTGTAGAATAATAATAAGGCACATTTTAAAAACTAGACTGACACCACACATAAGAAGGAAGGGATGGTAGGATGGTCCACCTCCTAAATCATCTGTTGGGCTTATTTTGCACATACTTGTATTATGCTAATGTGATGTAGCCTTGTATTCAGTTTTGTAAAAATTCAAGGTAGGCATATAAACATAAATTTACAAACACACGTCTACTATTACTTCTAGCAATATTAACTATAACTTCAATATGTGTATTTACTCATGAAATTATCTCCTAAGCACTTCCACTTGTTGCCCCCAAATCTGACAGGCTAGACCATCTATATTACTTTTAAAAATGCAAATGTCACCTGAAATAACTGCATTCAGATGTAATTAAAATGCAAAGTTGTACTGTAAAAAGTCATTATGCTAAAACTTTTACTTGAAAAGAGACAATTTTTTAAAAATCCTCACCTGAGGACATACTTAGTGATTTTAGGGAGACAGGAAGGGAGAGAAACATTGGTCAGTTGCCTCCTGTACGTGCCCCAGCCGGGGACCAAACCCGCAACATAGCTATGTGCCCTGGCTGGGAATCAAACCTACAACCTTTCAGTTTAAGGGAGGATGCTCCAATCAACTGAGCTACACTGGCCAGGGAGAAAGGAGACTACTTTAAACTGATGACAAAGCCATCATTACTTACTTTCCATCTTCTTAAGCATGATGGCATTAATTCGCAAAGAGAAATTAAAGAATCAATTCTTAAATCCAAATACAGAGCCTTTATTCTATGTTGAACGACCAAGACTACAGAAGACATAGTATATTAAAGACTGAACCAAATTTTGCTAGCATTTAACTTTTCAAGACAGGGTGAAAATTTGCTTAATGTCATTTCTTAAAGTTATCTCTCCCACCCCCTCCCCATGAACTAGTTTAAGGAAAGGGCAGATTTTGGCTTTTAAGTAGCCATTTTAACATTCGTTTTTAATAACAGAACTTTTGAATTATTATTCAAGGTCACAAAGAGACCTTGGGGTTGGAGGCAGGGGACATACCTAACTCATACAAAGGGGATCTGATTGCTGAGTGTTTTAACATCCGCACTAAAAATAATCGTCACAAATTCACATAGTTATCTTACATTGCAAGTCGCATGCATACCAATTAAAAATGTCAAGTTCCTTCATCAGAAGACATAAAGCATTACAATTAAACGAGTTTAAAAGTGTAGTACTGTAGGAATTGTTCTAAATTCAAAAATGCTGTGGAAACCTAAAATATAATAAGAATGTAATATATCATCTTCACTTATTAAGTTGCTGTTTTCATAGCAAAAGGAAGAATTTTCCTATGTTTCTGCAAGTATACATTGCTAGAAGTGGAATGCTAATGTCAGCTGTTATGAGGAAAAAATTGCTTTGAAAATGTACAAACAGAAATTGTTCTTTTGTATCATACATCAAAATGACCATATCTTGCAGTTTGAAATCAATGAATGCTATTAGTGTGATTGTAATGCCTAGTAAGAAACTTTAAATCAGAAGCAAACTGTGAATAATAACAAAATTAAGGTGTAGTCTCCAAGTTTATTTTTAATTTATGTCTATTGAATGCTGAAAATACAAGAAATTGATTGCCTGAGCATGTTTTATAAACCACTGTTTGCCACAACAAATATGCTAGCTTGACACTTACCTTTAGTGCTAAGCCTGTGACTAGTATAGTAACCTTTACTCATACACAGAATGCTTAAGGAACTTTGAGTTTGCTCATCTTTATAGAGTTACTGATAAAGACAAGATAGGTGAGTACTACTTCATCGTTAGAGTACTAGGTTACAATGATTTGCTAAACACCTCAAGGAAATTCCTTTCACAGAGATGAGGTCAAAAACAATATGTCTTTGTATCTATTTCCACAAGACATTAAAGAACAGTATCGAGTAGTAGTTACATAGCATCTTAAAACTAAGAGTATTTGGGACTAAGGTAGTCCCAAAGACTATCTTAGTCCCAAATACCAGATGAAACTATAATCAGTGGGCATACTCTGTAGAAAGTATTCAAATATTCTTTTTTTTATTTTAATCATTGTTCAAATAGAGTTTTCTCCTTTTCACTCCCAATCCAGTCCCCCCGTATTCAAATATTCTTACCTTAAGGTTGTTAAAGGAGCAGAATTATCAGAAAATACTTCTTGAATAGCCTAGCAACAAACAAAATAGTGAAGGAGATTTCTAAGTTTGATGGTCTTTTAACATGTCTTTTCTTGCTTAATTAATATTTATAACCTCTTCCTTCATGCTACCCCGTTAACTGATTACAAGGTGTTTCTGTTATTGGTGGGGAAATCAATTTATTAACATGCAATTCTACTCATAAATATAACAACAGTAGAAACTTTTCTTTGTAACTGGTAAATATTTATCAAATAATGTCTATAGAGAATCAAGAGTTTTATTAAAAATTATTCACTAAAGTGTAGCATGTATTTGGGATCATGTTACCTGTCTCAATTATTTCTCTTAACGATGTATATGTTAGCTAGGCTTTTCATTATCTGGGCAATTTTTCATCTGACTGTAAGTTATTATTGCTGTTTTGAGCCCACCAAACACTGACATTTATTTATATGTTAATTGCTTGTATACTGCTTAAAAATGGACGTAAAGTAATATAATAGGAAAATTTACCTCTACAAAATGAAGGAGCTTTTCAGTGGATGCCTCAAAAGATTTTCGAGCCATTTCCGATTTTCGCAGTTGGCAGTCGAGGACTGTGATTCTCTTTCTTAACTCCTGAACGTTTTCCTGGACAGAGGCAGCAAAAAGATTGCCTTACACACTTGTTCTAGTTAATGTGAATGGCTCCTACTTTCAGTTTGTGTTGACTGGTATCCAACATTGCCATATCATTTATTTTCTCTTTATTATATATACCTTCTGGTTTGGGGGCAGCACTTAAAAATAATGGCCCATTTAACAGTTAAACTGCACAGGGGTGCTGCAAATTTTATGAGATAAGCTTCATATAACTTTATTGATTCCTACAATAAATTACATTTAAATTAGTTTCCGTGGATTTTTTTGTTTTTTTTTGGCAACGTGGCTTACCAGATGCTGACAAAAACCCCTACCAGTGTGGCACAACCAAAAGTGCTGAAGATGTACACACATATTTAAAATAACACAATGCAGTGGAATGCCGAGCTGGCAGGGAAGGAAGGGATTCATTCCACGGGCAGCGCAGGAATTCCACTGAGACAAGCAAGAGCAACTCGGAGTGCGCACTGGAGTAAGTTCACTGCAGCGTAATGGGCTTTGAGGGTGCATGCTGAGCACGGGTGGCCTACAGTTTACGGTTTCATCAGGCACAAGTGGCAAATGGGAGAACTTTAGATGGCGAACTAGAAAGAAACAAACTGATAAAGTGCACAAAGTTTTGACTTTGGCTCTGGTGAGCAGATTAAGAACGGTATCCGCTGAGTAAACGCTAACCACAAGCCTCCACTCAAATAGATTTTTCAAGTCAGAATTTATACTACTGTGTAATCTGTAAATTCGTAAGCTGAAAATTTAGTTTACATTGGTCCCAGGCTGATAGAAGAAAACACAAAGTTTCTATGGAGGGATATTTTCTAAACTCAAATAATAATTCTCACATATATTGTATCAAAAGAACAAGGCCTCAGCAAATTAGCTACCGTAAATGAAAGTCCACTGAAGGAAATAAATTACAGGGTCAGTCCTGTAAAAATAACAGACACTGGAGTGATCAGATACAGAATGCACGGCAATATTTAATATATTTCAAAAATTCAGAAGGAATTGAAAGCATAATGAAAGGGACAAGAAACTATCAAAACAGGCCCAATGACAGGAAAACATGAATCTTAAAAATAAAAAATGCAATTATAATTAAATTAGAAACTCCATTTATAAGCTTGCTTCCTATCCAATTAGATATAGTTGAAAAGAGAACGAGTAAACTGAAAGACGGAGGTAGAGAATCTTATAATGAAGCAGAAAGACAAAATGGAAAATCTAAGAGAAAGAGATGAGATAAGGAGAAAAAAATTAGAAGATCTTTCATATGTCCAATCTGAATTACACAGGAAAGACCAGAAAAAGTAAAAGAAAAATAGCTAAAGATAACCGATATGGTTTAAAAAAAACTGCAAAAGACATTTTTCTCCAGGAAAGATGTCGGGGAGCTCAATGAATCTAAATAATTAGGTTAGCACATGAGTCTTCATAGTCAGACTGCTGAACATTGACAATAAAGAGATCTTAAAATCATCCAAAAAGAAACACTAGATCGAAAATAAATGACAGATTGATGACTATTGCAACCATGGACTAAAAACACTGAAAAAAAAATTAAATGTTAACGCCACAATTCTAAAGGTAGTAAAAATACATCTCAAAAATAAGAGTTCAATAAAGATGTCTTCAGAGAAACAAAAATGGGGAGAGTTTATTACCAATAGATCCTCACTGAATACATTTCTAAGAGCAGTACTTCAGAAAGAAAGAAAATAATTCTAGAAAAAAGGTCTGAGAAGCAAGAAAGAATGGGAAACACAGCAAATGGGAAACGTGGTGGTCGAGCTAAACAAAGGTTCACCACACAAAATAAACTGTAACAGTGTCCCATTTATGGTGTTAAAAGTTAAGAAAGAACTAAAATAGTGACAAAAATAGAAATTGAGAAGGAAGAAATGATTGAATTTGTATTCTAAAGTACTTTTAGAAGAGGGGAAAAGGTAGTGATTCGTTTTATAATTTCAGTTACAAAAGGATGTTAAATTTCTAAGATAATCATTAAAAATGAGAAAAAGAGTATATAACTGGGGAACCAGAAGAGGGAAGTAAGTGGAATGGGAGTGGGAGAACACAGGAGGAATCTGAACCAATTCAAAAAGGAGGGGGAGGACGTGGAGGGGAAAGAGAGGGAGGAGAGGACGTGAGGGAAGGAGAGGAAGGAGGGGGGATGATGGGGGGGGGGAGAAGGAGAAGGAGAAGAAGAGAAGGCAGCAAGAAAAAAAAACAAGAAGAAAACACGAGACAAATAAAGTGTACAAATTAAGAGGGTAGAAATGAAGCCAGTGCATTAGCAGATAAAAGAATGTAATTGAAACTATCTTTATCCTTAAAGGTAAATATGAAAATGGGGAGGGAGGAATTCTGCTACATGTTATTTACCATATAGATGCAATTACAATGCAGGGACATTGACAAGTTGAAAGTAAAAGGATGTAAAAAAATACATAGGTAAACACAAATCAAAAGTGAGCCAGTGTAGCTATTTTAACATCAATCAAAAACAAGCATTCGGGAAAAAGAATATTACTAGAATGAAGAATTACAACATTTTCATAACAGGATGATAATGTAATTCCAACCTTGTATGCAGCTAAAAGCATTACTTCAAAATACATAAAGAACATTAATCACAAGCCCCCGTGTGTGTGATTTTAACACACTGCCCTGACAAATGAATGACTAGAGAGCAACTGAACTGCACAATTAATGACTCTGATCTAGCGATCTGAAGTAAAACAACTTAATGAAATGACGGCAGCATTCTTTTCAAGCTGACTTTGAACATTTGCAGACGTCGGCCATGATGGTAAAACCACCATCAACAAATTTTACTGTTACTCTGCACACTAACAACTCAGTTCATCTAACAACGCAATCCACCTTTCTGTGACTCGGTGGTGTTTATAAATCAAGGTTCAGTAATAAATATGTAAATTATTCCCAAATTCATCTATATGCTTAATACATTTTCAGTGAGAAGGCTATAATTTTTTGGTGGAATTTATAAACTGAGTCTAAAAACACAAAAGGTCAAAGGGCCACGAAGCCAACACACTCTTTGTGCACGCTCTCTCCACTGGCACTGGGTTTTGAAAACGTTGAGATGCCCATGCCTGAAACTACTTCTTTAAAAAAAAGATTGTTTTCCGAGATAGGTTAATGGCTTAGTGAAGGGTATTGTTAAGAGAAATGGCATAAAACCCCACTATGCTAAAAAGAATTGAATTAATTTTACTACCAGACAACTTAGAACAAGTGTTCCTCAACTAGGAGCTGGAAGACAGAATTTCAAATAACCTATGCCGTTAAAAACAAATTTAAATAAATTCATCTGAACTCCTTAAAGTGTTGTATTTTTTAGGACTTATTTTCCTTCCAAAAAGTACTTTTAATATTTTGATCATTCCCAAATTTTTTTTAAGGATCATGTTAAAGTTACCCACATAAAATAAGCACCTATTTCCATTTTTAGAATGTAAATACTGAGACAAAGGTAAAAAAAATCTATGTAATATTTCTTAAGTTCTGCAGCTTTCTCAAGCAGTATGTTTCCCAGTGGGCCTCGCGGTGTCATCCCAGGGTGACCGACGGGAACGTCAGACTTCTCGTGGAACTGGTTTAAACTGGCAGATGTGAGGAACATATCAGTAACACTTAAGAGTTAACCTGAGGAAATTTCAGATTTTCTTCCGTATGTTGCTTGTCTAAAACTAGTTTCATTGGTATAATTAAAGTATTTAACTCATTTATGTTTAAATAAATAGATGTAAATAATTCAAAGTCACTTTATGTTCTCTTGAAAGGTGATTGGATTAGATATATAAACGGTTATTATGTTTATAAACGAACCCTACTAAGTTATAAAATGTCTATTTCCATTTATTTCATTGTCTATCTTGCCTCTGGAGTAAATGTGTGTGTCTTTTACAGTTTCTGAACACCATTCAATGAATATAGTATGTACTCTAGAAAAAAAATCACATAAACATGCCCATAAAAAGATTCACATTGCCTTCTAAACAGCATTCAGTGTTTTGCTATTGAAATTTGAGCCTGCTCCATTCAAACTCAGTTTCTTCCTATTAATTATCTTGGGCCTACGGCAAAATTATTTAACTTTCACACTTCCTTGAGTGCTTTAATCAAAAGGCAAAACCCATCCCTAGACTCTCCCCCTCCCATCCCCATAAGACAAATTAGCAAGTGCAGAAACAAAAGAGAAAAACAATGTAATCAATTAAATGCTAAAGAATTCCAGGATTTCACGCCTGAGCTGTATCATGTTGACCAGCGACCCAAGTACATGCGGGGCACCAGCTCTTCCCTCCCAAAGCCGGCTGAGCGCAGGGAGGCTCACAGCAGCGTCCCCACGGCCCCCCTCGCTCGCTACACACCCTCCTGCCATTGAATAATAGAAGAAAAAACACTGACCTAGTTTAGAAGCGCAGATGAAAAGAAAATGAAAACAGGATACATGACAACGGCAAGGAAACCATGGTAACTAGGAGAGGGGACTGTTTTGCTCACTTTATTTTGGTCAGAATAATCAGCAAGCTGGGCCTTCAGCTCCGTGATCTCGGCCTCCAGCAGGCGGATCACTTCTTCGTAGTCCATTTCCATCCCGCGCGCCTGTCTCTGCGCGGCCTCGGCGAGATGAATCCGGCTTCGCAGCGCTCTGGTTTCTTCAATGACAGCTTTGGCTTCCTGAGGATTTCAAAATTGGTGCCAACGGGGGAAAAAAACCCATGTAAAAATAGTTCAGTGGTTTAAACAAAATATTTCCTCCCTCAAGATGTTATAACTCCAAAACTTAGTGCGTACTTGTTCCTCCCATCTCAATTGAAAATTAACATGCATGTCATTTATTATAGAGTAGCTGCCTGGTCTTACTTTTCCTTTGTTGATTTTTAAGATGATTTTCAGTATGGAATCTCCAACTTCACACCCCTAGCATAATATTTTGAAAATAAGGGAAGTGGAAGAGAACTGGAAACGGAAGATAATAAGAATTGGTTCAAAAGATAAAAAGAGTAGGCTTCCACAAAACTCAAGTAGGTGGGAAGGCGCAGGGTCTAGGAAGGCTCTGGAAGCTTCCTCATTACCGCTGAGAGATCTACAGTGCTGTGCGGCTTCTCCAGGTCCATGCCCGGGAGCCAGAGCTCACTCCCAGACATCAATCTCACTGCTACTTCTCTTTTTCAATTTAAGCCAAAAAGTAGAATTCAGTAGCGAGATATATAGCTATTCCTACAGGATGCAATGTTCACAAGACATTTATTAAACATGTGTTACGTCTCAGGTGATTCATGTGTCTTTTCTCATTCAACTTTTATAACACCAAGAGAAAGGACTTATTTAAAAATAATTTTATACATAACCAGAGGCTTGGGGTGGTTACAGAATCCAAGGTCAGAGAGTAATGCCAGAATTTAAACCCAGGTCTGTCTGACTCCAAGTTCAATGCTCGGTTCACCATTTTACTCTGTCACCAGATGATAAGTACAAACAAACAAGCAAACGAAATATAAATCGACCCTGTCTATTTTAGCTACATTCTCCACGTGAGGAAGAGGATGGGGTGGCCAACCACTTGCTCTCTCTAACTGTGCCCTGGTGCTGGGTGGACGACGGTCCCCCAGGGCACTGACATAATTTAACATGGCAGTTACTGTGCTGTAAACCAGTTCTTTTCTTTTCTTGATGCGGAATCTCTTTTCTCTGCAATGGAACTTTCTGCTCCAATTGCCATGGCTAATACTCAACTATGGCTATTTTAATATTCTCAAAGCTATTATAGGATACTTGATTTTTTGAGCCTAAATATGGTTGAAGTGAGGGGAGGTTTGGGACTATGGACATATTTTTAAGGATCAAATTTTCATTCATACATTCAAGACTATTTTTTCAAAACTTACTTTGCATCAAGTTCTGTTTTAGGTACTGAGGGAAGAGCACTAAACAAAATAAACAAAAGTCCTCCCATCTGCCCCGAGAATAGACTCTCCAGTTTGGAGAGATAGTAAATTAGAGATCATCAATGAAGATCTCATTGGGAAGACATTGGACCCTCTGGTCCTGCAGGGAGGATGGAGCCATGAAGACTTTCTAAGGAGGAGCTTTCTGGGCGGAGGGAACAGTTCGCGCGAAGGCCCGGGGGCAGGACTGTGCCTCGCGTCTTCGGGGAACAGCAAGGAAGCCAGTGGGCCGACGTCGAGAGTAGTGGACAGGACGGGGGCAGCAGGGCATGGGGGCGGAGCGGTAACTGCAGGGAGGGCGAGGGTGGGGCTGGGGCGCAGTGGCCAACCTTAAGGGGCTTTGTAGGCCATTGTAAGGACTTTGGTTTGACTCTGGGTGAGATGGGAAGAGAGTGGGGGTTTATGAGCAGAAAAGTGATACAATCTACTTAAATTGTAAGTGCGTATCTTTTGCTGCTGTGTTGAGAGTAGACTGCAGGGGGTGGGCAAAGGTGTAGCCGGGAGAAAGGGAAGGGAACAAACGAAAACATAATTGTGGTTTGGATAAAGGTGACAGTGGTGACATAGTGTTAAGTGGTTAGATTCCACATGCAGTCTGAAAGTGGAACAGAATAGCACATCATCATTAACAACCTTTACTTAGCAGATACTGTATCCAGACGAACATGCTATATCATAAAAAATACAAAGGTATCTTTTACCTTCTCTTTTCTGGCTTAGAGCATTAGGTAAGACTTAGAGAAGTGGCGGAAGAGGGCAGAGCACGTTAGACAAAGCAAAGAATGCGAACAAAAGCAGAGAAGAAGAAATATGGTGCATTTGTGAAAGGGCACTGGAGATCAGCTTTGACTGAAGTCAATGCTTCCTGTAGGGGAGCCATGAATAAAGAAGTTCAAGGAGAGGGAGAGACAGGGCTAGGCTTTGGTGGAAATGGCATGACGGGTGAAAAAAAACTTTTAAAAACATTTTATTGAATTTATTGGGCCAGTATTGGTTAATAAAGTTGCATGTCTCAGGTATACAATTCTGTAATACAGCATCCATGTACTGTATTGAATGTTCACCACCCCAGTCAAGTCTCCTTCCGTGAACATTTATTCCATTACCCTCTTCTACCCCCACCCACCCCCTTTCTCTCTGGTAATCGCCACACTGTCGTCTGTGCTTATGAGTTGTGGGTTTTTGTCCTTAATTCTTCCACATTTTTCACCCAGCCCCCCAAACCCTCTGCCCTCTGACAACTGTCATTCTGTTCTCTGTACCTATGAGTCTGTTCCTTTTTTGTCTGTTAGTTTATTTTCTTCATTAGATTCCACACACATGTGAAATCACATGGCATTTGTCTTTCTCTGACGGGCTTATTTCCCTTAGCATAATACTCTTCATGCCGTCGCAAAACATAAGATTTCCTTCTTTTTTATGGCCGAGTAGTATTCATTGTGTAAATGTACCAAATCTTGGTTATTTTAAATAATGCTGCGATGAACATAGGGGTGTATATATTCTTTCAAATTAGTGTGTTGGGTTTCTTTGGATAAATTCCCAGAAGTAAAATCACTGGGTCATAAGGCAGTTCCATTTTCAGTTTTCTGAGGCGAACCCACACTGCTGGCTGCAGTGGTCCGCGTTCCCACCACCAGCAGTGCCAAAGGGTTCCCCTTTCTCCACATCCTCATTCGCACTTGTTTTTTGTTGATTTCTTGACGATAGCCATTCTGACGGAGGTGAAGCGATATTGTGGTTTTCATTCGCATTTCTCTGATGATTAGTGATGCTGAGCATCTTCTCACATGTCCATCGGCCGTCTGTATGTTCTCTTTGAAGAAGTGTCTACTCAGGTCCTTTGTCCATTTTATAATTGGATTGTTTGGGGTTTTTTGGTGTAGAGTTGTATAAGCTCTTTATAAATTTGGGATATTAACCCCTTATCAAATGTATCATTGGAAAATATGTCCTCCCATTCAGTGTTGATGGTTTCCTTTGCTCTGCAAAAACTTTTTAGTTTGATGTAGTCCCCTTTGTTTATCTGTTTCTTTTGTTTCCCTTGTCTGAGGTGACATATCAGAAAACATATTGCTATGAGAAATGTTAGAGATTTTACTGCTTATGCTATTTTGTAAAATTTGTATGGCTTCAAGCCCAATATTTAAATCTTTAATCCATTTTGAGTTTATTCTTGTGTATGTAAGAACGTGATCTAGTTTTATTTTTTTCATGTATCTGTACAATTACCCCAACACTATTTATTGAATAGACTATTTTTACTTCTCTATTATGTTCTTGTTACCTTTGTCAAATATTAATTGACCATAAAGTCATGGGTTTATTTCTGGGCTCTCTATTCTGTTCCATTGATCTATATGTCTATTTTTTTTTATGCCAGTACCACGCTGTATTGATTACTATGGTCTTATAGTACAGTTTGATATCAGGGAGCATGATTCCTTGAATTTGTTCTTCCTTCTCTTTGCTGTGGCTGTTCAGGGTCTTTTGTGGTTCCATATAAATTTTTGAAATATTTGCTCAAGTTTTGTGAAATATGCCATTAGTATCTTAATAGAAATTACATCAAATCTATAGATTGCTTTGGGTAGTATGGACATTTTAATGATGTTAATTCTTTCTATCCATGAACACAGTATATATTTCCACTTATTTGTATCTTCTTCAATTTCTTTCTTCAAAGTCTTATAATTCTGATTATAGATATTTTAAATTCTTGGTTAAATTTATCACTAGGTTTTTTTCTGATGCAATTGTAAATAGGACTGTTTTCTTAGTTTCCCTTTTTGATAGTTTATTATTGGTGTGTAAAAATGCAATTGATTTCTAGATATTTATTTTGTATTCTATCTGGGGAAGTCTTGACACCTTCTGGGCAGAGAGGAGAACACAGCACTTCAGAAACCTTAAATCTGGCAGCAAGGTGCAGGATGGGAAGACGTGGCCAACCAACCACCTACTATACCCTTAATTCACAGAACTTTATTTTCTTATTTTGTAAAGTAATTGTCTTATAATAAAAAGGTACTTATAAAAAGAAATACCCAGGGAAATAAAAGGACACTTAATCTAGGCATGTCGGTTGCATTTAGTTCAGCAGAGGTGGTCAGGAGTCACCTTGTCGCAACTGAATCAACTCACGTCGGTCTGTCGCTGTGCGTACAGGAGGGAATGGCGTGGTGTGCTGGCAGCTCGCTAAGTGTTTTACATGGGTCACCTCCACTAACCTGCATGCTTCTGTGTGAGGTACGTCAATTGTGATCTTCATTTAAGGGATGGGAAGCTGAAGCACAGAAAGGTTAAATGACTTGCTCAGAATCACACACTTAGCCAGTGGCTGAGCTAGCCTCTGAACCAGGCAGTCTAGTTACAAAGTTCATGTTCTTGGCTACTGCGCCATGCTACCTTTCCAACTATAAAAAGTGCTAAAAAAATTGCTCGTAGATGACAATATCATCATTGCCCAGTCCTACATGGGCTTAGGATGTGGCCATTACCAGCTACTCAGAAACGTTCAAGGTGGCTACGTTGGTCTCCATTTCCCATTCGATAGAGCTAGAAAACAAAAATATACTGTCACTGAAGAGAAAGAGGAGGGGCACAGAGTCCTCCATGGCTGCAGCAAAGAATAACTAATTTGATGACCTGTCTCCTTTGCACTCACTTCATGCAGCTTTTATTCCTCTATAAAAACAGCACTTTGGTTTTTGCCCAAAGAATGCTAGT